GATCTGGAAAACAACACAGGAAACAAGAAACCAGAACGCAGTTTCAGAATGAAGAACAGAAGTGGGGTTCTCAAAAGCATAAAGAAAACAAGAACTACAGGGCCAAGAACAGTGGCAAAAATGCAAGAAATAGTGAACAATAAATATGATTCATGGAAATGGCAGTAAGAAGATAGAAGAACGTCAGTGAACTGAATACATAAAGAATAGTGGCTTACCAGAGAAATTGAAGCCGGAATAGAATTCGCCGAAGATAGACGACGGTTACTGAAGTACCAGAGTGGTAAAAGCTTCACCAGAAAGGCGAACGAAGACGGTTGCAGAACTTGGAGCCTTAGCAATGGCGGATTCAAGAAGCAAGGGATTTAGAGAGAGAAAAGCAAGTAAATCGAATACAAAGGTAAGGAAAGAAAGAGGGAAAAAACAACGTTTTGTTAAAAACTTGAAACGGCAGCAAAACAAGGCATTTAATACGTCTGGAGCAGCGTATACGTCAGGCGGCGTGCACAGAAAAAACGTGGTTTATAAGCCCGTCACAAACACGAACCAATAAGGTAAAGACGCGTGAGAGAAACGGTTGAGTAAATGATGCGTGACAGCTCACACATATGAAAAAGGTCACTGGAATTCTTGTTCTCCGAAGAGAACATGTCGGCTTGACATGAATGATCTCGGTCGAAGAGTTCTTACGCCGAGGTACTAGAAGACAATACAGTATAGGTTTCATCACCTCAAAATGCTGAGGTAATAGAACCTAGGGGGCAATTGTGGGGATGTATTTTCTGAATACCAACATGTGGCAAGGTGACGCCGACGTGTCAGCCGAAGTGCCACGTGTCTAGGTTGTGACGCCGAGGTTATCTCGGCAAGGCCGAGGTTATCTCCGAAGATATCGGAATCCGAGATAAATGGATAAAAGATAAGGGACAGGAGTCCTAGAGTAAAGAGAAGACTTTGCTAAGATAAGGATAAAGCTCTTAGGGAGTTTATCTTTATCTCTTGAGGAATCCAAAGTAAGCACTGAATTGGAGTCCATAGAAGTCAGGCTTCTAGTAGGACTTGGATTGAGTAAACTATAAAAGAGAGGCACCCCCGTGGGTCTAAGGTACGCAATTTCATGCTTTGAGTAGTGAGTTTAGCACTTGATTATCTTTGAGAGATATACTGACTTGATCGTCGGAGTGCCCCCGGGTGGAAGAGCCACCGCCGGAGCCTTTTCTTTCTGTTACAGGTTTGCTGAAGCTATCTATTCTGCCGGTGCTCTCCAGCTAATTACTAGGTGGGCAGTGTGGTCAGAAAATCACCCACACAGATCCCATTGGTCAGTAGATATTAATTTTTAGCTTCAAAAAATTGTGATTGATGCAAACCCAACATTTTTCTTCCAATGTTTGTTGTTTTTCTTATTAAATTGAAGTGGCTATGGAGTTGTAGAGAATGACGTGGGTATAGCCATGTGAATGAAAGGGAAATGAGGAATGTGGTGGCGCAGAGAGGGAATATTGGTGAGGGGAGAGGAAGTTGGTGTGGTATAATGGGTTGGAGTTAAGAAATATAAAAAGAAATAGTAGAGAGAGAAGGAGGAAGAAGCATGACATGCCTTCAAAAATTTAAAAATGTCCAAGGGGTATTTTGGTCTTAAAATGTAGCTTACTCTCTTTATGGGTGTTTGAACTACATAGTTAGTTAATTTGGACTGAAAAGTAGACGGTACATTTTAATCCACAAACCACATGGGAGTTATGTGGTCATTTCCGAATGTCAGGGGATAATCCGTACCCAGCCTAAACCACTGGGGTGTAAAGTGAAGTTTGCCCAATAAAGTTTAGCTCCAAAAAAATAAACGGCATGTGTATTTTTGAAAATTACCCATCCAATTTTTAGAGATAAACGCGATAAAATGAAAGTATATGATCTAATTTTTTTCATAGATGATATACACCGAGAGCCCTACAAAATAAACAGTCCGGATCATCAAAATGGAGTCATGTTGGGCTCTACAAGCTTGAACAATTTTCTCAAATCTGAACTTGTGAGAAATTTAAGAAAAGCCTAATCCATTTTGAAAATCATACAATCCATCAATATTTTTTTTCAAATATATATGATCCGATTAGCTTAATATTTTATATTAATAATATTCTTCACAAATCTCACAAAATAAATAATTTAAATTACCGAGACAAACTTGTAATAAGTTAAACTAGATCTCTCTAATCTAGTGGCGTATCAAAATTCTTTATCGAATCCTTTACGAGTAATGTTAGGGATCATGAAATATTTCATAAAGATTTTTCATCCTTTGATTAGTATGTAATATTTTATTGTATGTGTAATCTAAGATTTTTCATGATCCCTAACATTACTCATCATTTACCGGAGTTCAGATCCTTTCTTGCCCCTCTCTCCAGCTCTTCCTTCGGGAGACGACCTAGATTGGGCCATATCACTCCATTGAAAATTTGCAACTTAAATTAGCTATTAAAAAAAAAAAATCTCATTTTCTCTTACACTCTCTCTCTTCTCCTCTCTCACTGACAAACACACACCACTCACGAGTCCGGATCGTATGTCGTAGTTGTCTGCGGCGTTTCCTGCAACGGTCCAAAACAACGTCATTTTGGACTTCTTTTTTTTTTTCTCCCTCTTCTTCTTTTGCTTTTAAGCCTTTTATGTTTTTACGACACAAATGATGGTTCTCAACAAGAGAAACGGGGTTCATCAAACTCGGACTCATTATTCATAGATCATCGACAGCATATCCAATGGATTGCTGAACAACATGGGATCTTTGAGTTACAAAAACCTCAAATACCTTAATCTTAACTCCATCAACTGTTCCACTAATCTCCTTCACAGTCATAGTGGCAGGTTCAAATGTATCAATTAAAGCTTTCTCTTCACCAAAAATGGAGAAGCCGATAAACTTAGTCATATTCCTTTGATCTGTTCCAATGGTCTCAGATCTGTTCTGATCTGCATCGCCGCGAAGAGATTGGCCTCCGATAACAAATCTTGTTGAAACGTCTTTATAGAGCATCAAAGATCCTTCGCCGAAACAAAAAAAATGGAGTGGGTTTGATTTATGAAATGTGATCTTTGTTTTTTTATGGAACACAAAGTGAGTTTGATTCATGAATATTTTTTTTTTGAACACAGTGAGTTTGATTTATGACATTGTTTTCAAATATTGTAGCGAATATTATATCAAATAGTTCTACAAATGACTCTTGTAAAATAAATCTTACATATACATATATATATTTGATTAAAGCCTTCTTTTGGTCTGAATCTCTCAGATTTGTATTCGAAGTGGTTTGATTTGTAGTGATATGAGTTTGATTGGCTTAAGTTTGGTTCGGATCTGATCTTAAATTGCTCCAGCAGTATTCATATCTGCAATTTTGATATTTCTTTTGAATGAAATTCAGATCTGGTTCAACATTACAATGCTAGTGCTTGTGTGTGTGTGTGTGTGTGTGTAAGAGAGAGAGAGTTGGATAACAGAGGAAGAGGTAGATAATTTTGCAAATTTTGGTGATGGTGCTGAGTTGAATCCATTCTCTCGCCATCCATCTTTGTCTCTGTGTGTTTGGATTCTCTCTGACATTTGAGAGATGAGAGAGAAGAAAAAGAGATTTAAAAGCAAAAGAATAAGGGAAAAAAAAAAAGGGTCCAAATGCAGAAAGCGCAAACAACCACGGCAGACGATCCGAACTCACCACACACGCACACACACTCTCCGTCTCTCTCTCATTTCTAATAAAAAAAATTAAAAATTATTTTAATCTTTTTCATTTTATTTTCATAATATATATATAATTTTTAATATAAAATTTAATTTTATAAAATTAATATCATTAAAAAATACTTTTAAAATGAGACTAATATTAAATATATTTAATAAAAAAATTAAAATAAATAAAAAGTAATTACTATATTTAGTTATGTTTTCAAATTATTATTTTTTAAATATAAAAATTAATTTAATGAAATAAACACACTAAAATCATATATTTTTTGAAATTCTCAAAAACAATCTTCACTCCAAAAAAATCATAGGAAAATAATGGTTTTTAATTTAATTTTATCAACCAAATGAGTTTATACTTTTTATTTATTTTAATTTTTTTATTAAATATACTTAATATTATTCTCATTTTAAAGATATATTTTCAATGATATTAATTTTATAAAATTAAAATTTTATATTAAAAATTATATATATATATATATTATGAAAATAAAATAAAATAATTAAAATAATTTTTTTTATTTTTCATTAAAAATGTGTGAGAGAGAGAGAAATTGAGACCTCGTTTGAAAACTCTCATTTTTAGTTAAAAAATCAAAAAATTATTAAATTAGTCAAAAAGTCAACAACTCATACAAAAAAGTTAAAAATTCTCTTTTCTCTCTATTTTTTGCACATCTTTTCGTAAAAAATAAAAATTTATCTTAAACATACTAATTTTTTTAACTCATATTTTAATCAAATAATCAAAAAGTTACTAAATTAATCTATTTTCAAATGAGGCCAGAGTCTAAGTGGTACGAGGGAGGGAGGGAGGAGAAAGAGAATGTCAGGGAAAAATAGAATTTTATTATTAATTTTTTTAATTAATCTGAATCGTAGATTTTTAATAGAGTGACGTAGTCTAATCTAAGCCGTCCGATGGAAGGGCCGAAGATTTACCTACCCCCACACACCTGCCAACCTTAGACGACTTTAATGGGGTCAGTAAGTACCTAATACGGTTTTTTTTTTTTTTTTTTTTTCTTTCCGTGTTCAGATAGGCACAAAAGAGTAATATTTTAGGTATTAATTGATGTTTTAATTAATTAATAATATGATATAATTTAAAAAAAATTAAAATTTATAATATAATTAATAAATTAAATTAATAATAATAGATATTAATATATTAATTAATAAATGTAACATCATCATCGGAATCTTGAGTGAATGGTCGGTCCATAACGAGATAGACCATTTCAACCCTCTTCAACACTTATCACACTTCCCTAACAATGAATCCTCCAAAGGTCCGGTACATCTCAGAGTGCTTCATCAAACCCAGGTCTTCAGCAGACGAAGAGGAGACCAAGCAGCCAATAATCCACTTGGCTCCAGGGGACCTAGCCATGCTCTCAGCCCATTACATCCAAAAGGGTCTTCTCTTTGTCAAGCCCTCTTCAATGAATGATCAAGAAAACACAGTCAGAGCTCTCTTGGAGAAGCTCAAGGGGTCCCTTTCTCTCACTCTCGTTCATTTCTACCCTCTTGCTGGTCGGCTCGCGACGTCCAAACAAGAAAACCCACCTCATTACTCCGTCTACATCGACAACGACAACAGTCCCGGCGCCAGATTCATCCACGCCGCCGTGAATTTGACTGTCTCTGACATTCTTTCACCAGTGGATGTACCACTAGTTGTGCAATCGTTCTTTGACCATGACAGGGCCATCAACCACGACGGGCATACCCTGTCGTTGCTGTCAATTCAGGTGACACAGTTGATTGATGGCATCTTCATAGGATGTTCCGTTAACCACGTGATTGTTGATGGAACATCCTACTGGCATTTTTTCAATGCTTGGTCAGATATTTTCATGACAAACAATTCTTCCATTTCTCGACCTCCTGTTCTCAACAGGTACAACCATGTTCTCAACCTTCCTTTCACCCACCCCGATCAATTCGTCAGCAGGTACGAAGCGCCTCCGTTGAGAGACAGAATTTTCCACTTATCCACAGAATCCGTAGCAAAACTAAAAGCGATAGCCAACGGGGAGTGTCAAACCAATAGGATATCCTCCTTGCAATCTGTGAGCGCGCTCATCTGGAGGTGCATCACAAGGACGCGACGCCTACCCTACGATCAGGAAACCAGTTGCAGAATGTCTATCAATAACCGAACACGAATAGAACCGCCTTTGCCAGAGGAGTATTTTGGGAATTCTCTACAAACAGTGAGAGGCATTGCTAAAGCAGGCGAGCTGCTCGAGCAGGGGCTCGGGTGGGCAGCGTGGCGGCTGAGGGAAGCGGTGGCGAACCACACCGACAAGGCGGTGAGGGAGTGGACGGAGGAGTGGTTGCAGAAACCATATATATATCAGCTTGGTCGATTCTTCGACCCTTGCACCGTATTGGTGGGAAGTTCACCGAGGTTTGAAATGTATGGGAATGAATTTGGGATGGGGAGAGCGGTGGCGATTCGAAGTGGATATGCGAATAAGTTTGACGGGAAAGTGACGACGTACCCGGGATATGAAGGCGGAGGAAGCATGGATTTAGAGGTGTGCCTTTCGCCGGAGTCGATGAGGGACCTTGAATCCGATAGGGAGTTCATGGATGCTGTCTGTATTTGATCATATGCTGTTTAGTAGATTAAATGTTTCATTCCATTTAGTACATTAAATAAATTTTGTTAGTATAACATTACCATTTTTGTATAAGAAAACCAATCCAAAACAAATAAATAAATAAATAATTCTACTGATTAATCGGAAATGGAAGAACTAATTGCAAACCAGTAAAAATTTTACAATTAATTGCACCAGCCACAATTCTCACTTACACCCGACACAATTCCACTGATTTGTAATTAGTTTATGAGTTTCTCATATTTATCTGTTATTTCCCTTAAAATTATATATAAAGCAGTCTCACAGGAATATTATGGTTCAACAATAAATTAAGATGGAAAAAAAAATAGTTGTACATAATAAATCAAAGTCAATCCTCATAACATCAAATTTGGAATCCAAAGATTAATCCAGACAAAAAAGTTCAAAAAAAAAAAAATCCTGCAATTGTTTAAAATCAGCGGAAAAAAAATTGCAATTACAACTTCCAACATGATATTAGGTTTAAAATGCAGCTGAAAAATTGATGAACTTCCAAAATTTCTTTCATTTGTTTTGGAAGGAGAGTATGGTACGCCTACAAAAGATTCAAATCAAAGTGAATTGTAACACTTATCAACGGTGAGATAAACACACCCAAAAAATAAATAAATACAGCTCATGAATAATGTACATGGCAAAGTGCAGCCCAAACCAGAGGTAAAGTTTTTTTTTTTTTTTTCCCCCAAAAAAAGTAAAAAAATAAATTCTTCACTACCAAATTCTCACATCATTCTGATCACCAACAGCCTAAATGAACAATATAAGGGATTCTTAGTTGTACAAATGGTGCACTTCTTCGAACTTGGAACGAGCATGAAATATGCAGAAACAATTCCCGGTATAGTCTTTTCCCATGTTTTGTCGTCTCGTATATATGAGCTCACCATGGCTGTTTCACATGCTAGAGTGGGCAGAAACACCAGTATATTTTCAGAATAGCAAATTTGATTCTGCACGGGGTGCATGGAAAAAGAATCAAGAATCATGTATGATTCTATAAACACTGCCATTACGAGTGGCCTCATTGTGATTGATCTGATATCCTCTCTGAGTCTCGAATTTCAGCAGAAGCTAGCAGGGGAGCGCTATGGCTGTCGGAGTTTGTGGAGAATTGGATTGGCAACAGAGCTGGATCCTGATAGGCAGTTGCCATTTGATTAAAAAATTCAGCCATTGTCGGATCATTGTGGTCTTCTCTATCCTTGTTTAACAAAGCCTGAAAGCATAAAACCCAAAATTCAAAAATTCACGGAATATCTGTAAACAATCTACTAAATTTAGGGTAAATTACACTGACCTCCCTTGAGGTTTGGAGAAAATACAGCGATCTTCATAATTTTGACATAATGACATTGACTTCCCTTTTAGCAAGGTTAAAGAGACGAAAACTAATGTAGATTGCATTAAGACCCAACAATTCATAATGTAAAATATACATTTCAATGTAATATAGATAACAACATCATTTATTACGACTAATGAATTTGTGATGAAAAAGGGGGCCAGGTGAATTAAAACCTTAAGGGAGCTTAATGTAATTATGCCGAACTTGTGGAGCTTACTGTATTTTCTCCAGACCTCAAGGGAGGTCAGTGTAATTTACCCATGAATTTCATTAGGAGCATCCACAGGTGGAAGAATAATGGCACAGGTAAACATACCTCAGTGGAGTAGGCAACAAAAATGGGTAGAAAGCGTTTACGGCAATACGCATTAAAGAGAAGTGTGAGGATTGGCAGAGGAACAAGCAAGGTTGATGCCAGAGAAACCTTCTTCAGTGTAAAGATTCCAAGAGCGATAGCATGCATCAGTAGCAGGGAAAATATCATTGAATTGTGAACAGTAGGCCAAAACTGCCCTGCAGTTTCATACTTGGGCTCGTATACATTTATCAACTGCGCAAATAGTTCAAACAATAAATTCATGGCACATCAGTACAAGCTGTATTCAATCTAATTTCACAGTTTTGATCAATTAGGGCATTAACTCGTCGAGGGCTCCTCATTCACTTGAAATCTAGCATTTCAGAACACTATAAAAACTGCTAAAACAGACTTCTACACGGAAAGAAAATACTTCTGCCTCATCTCAGTAACAGAGCCTGAAATGAAATTAAGAATATATTACTCTTACAACCCTGATGGTTATGCTTACTAAAGAGATCTCAGTTAAAATTTTATAATCTTAACCGGCCACCTCAGAACTACCTCAGGTTTATTTTAACCTACATAGGAGAGGATGGTTTTCTCTTTTATTGTTCCATTTTTAGACCTTTGATCACATGCCTTCTGATGAAACTTCTTGGAAATTCATGAGCCTATTTGGAAAAATTATTACAATCTTCTCATATCCTCACCAACTCAGCAATTCAGTTTGAAGTTCACCACATGTAGGTTTATTGAAGTAAACAATCAAACTCGCAACATGCAGGTTTATAGGCATTCCATGTGGCTTAAAAATTTGGACTCCATTATATTATCTTATTAAGTGATCAGTATTTGATAGATCCAATAGATGGGACTATGTTTATCGTTACCATCCATTTTAAGAGAAGCCCAAAACATTACAACCTTTTTTTTTTTCTTGTGATTTATTCCCAAACCAAACCAAGCCTTAAGTCCCATTAAATGGGGTCGGCTTTTTCTTGCAATTTATTATTTAAAAAAAATAATGTAGCAGCAGAAAGCCAAGCAAGGCCTGTGTACTGCAGAGTCAATGCTGTTTTTGCATAAAATAATTGTCTACCATACAGGGTGAAACTAAACATGATAGGACAGCATAACTTTAACTGATTAACATTAAGACTACAATTAAAGCAGTAAGAAAAATAAATAAAACACAACGAAAGACATCAAAGTAACCTGGTTACGATAAATGATGTATGCAAGACAGAAGTAGATCAAGAGAAAGGGTAGAATTAGAGGAGCCAGGAAGAAATATGTTATGCCAAGAAGTCCAAAGAAAAGAAGCCTCGGAATGTCCTTGTGGTAAGGAAGACCCGGAACTTCAAATTCATCATCTGGACTTTTAAGGCAAGGCTTTCTCATCAGACTCCAAATAAAAGGGATCAAGCGGAAGAGCTCTGTCGAAATACTCGTCCATCCTGATGTGACAACATAAGCAATAAAAAAGGAAGCCTGCCAAAACAATGAAATATGTTTCAACAATATAAAAATCGGAATTGAAGCAATGCAATCAACTAGATTCTTCGATGCTTTGTTCGGAAAATGTGTAGAAACTAAATTACAACTTTTACACCATCAGTATCATCTTCATCCATTAAACAATCACATCATTCTCATGCTACATTATAGCCCTTTAAAAAATAAAATAAATAAAATAAATTGTCATATCTGCCTGACAAGACATACTTGTGAATATGGAATGGATCTGTCAGAAGGGCACATAAGTTGTTTATTATGCACCAAGTGGCGCTAATAGTACATGTCTGACTTGGGCACATGTCCAAGACAGCAAAAGTCCTCTTACAGTTTGAGAGATATCTCATACACCTCAGAATTTATTTTGGAAGACCTCTTTTCTTTTTTTTCTTTTTTCTTTTTTTCTTTTTTCTTTTTTTAATTATGACACCACTATTCAGTGTCCTCTACACCGTTATGACACCACCATCCAGTGTCCTCTACCACGTTATGACACCACCATACAGTGTCCTCTACAACGTTATGACACCACCATCCAGTGTCCTCTACCATATCATCTTCATCCATTAAACAATCACATCATTCTCATGCTACATTATAGCCCTTTAAAAAATAAAATAAATAAAATAAATTGTCATATCTGCCTGACAAGACATACTTGTGAATATGGAATGGATCTGTCAGAAGGGCACATAAGTTGTTTATGTTAGAATTTACCATCACCTACCACACACTTACCATCACCTACCACACACTCACCTACCACACTCACGTACTTCTCACCTACCACCACCTAACCTACATCTATATAATCAATCAATTGTAACAGAATCATGTATCTATCAATAAATCAATAATACATCAGTTTATTTTACAGTTTATTATGCACCAAGTGGCGCTAATAGTACATGTCTGACTTGGGCACATGTCCAAGACAGCAAAAGTCCTCTTACAGTTTGAGAGATATCTCATACACCTCAGAATTTATTTTGGAAGACCTCTTTTCTTTTTTTTCTTTTTTCTTTTTTTCTTTTTTCTTTTTTTAAACACAAAAAAATTCAAAAATACACTCAAAAAGGGCATCACTTGCATACTCAGGATGTAGATAAAGCACGGAAAACTATAGCCAATCAACAAAATTGAGCTCTTGTATAAAGTCTTATCAATAAAACACTGTGAAGGCCTTGGAACAACAGTAAGGTTGCTCCATTGCAACCTAGGTGTTACGGGTTCAAAATTTAGAAACAGCCTTTCAGCACATGGGAGCAACACTGCGTACATCTGACCTTCTCTGGACCTGCAGTGGCAGAAACCTCATGCACTAGGCTGTCCTTTTTAAACGAAAAAAGAACTATAGAACTTTCCATTTATCCAAACTAAAAGCAAAGCCATCTTAAGCCTATGTGCCATCTCTACCTCCTAAAAGGTACGCCGATTCATTTCCCTCCATAGACACCACATCAAGGTCATAAGTTCGTGCCACCATCCAATCTTTTCTCACCCTCATCAAATGAAGCACACCTATCTAATTTTCACAGACTAGAGAATTCAATCCGGTAAAATCATGTCACTTTAAAATTGGACAATAGAATACTCCAAAACCATTGAGCAAGCTCACAATGCAGTAATAGATGATTCATTGACTCCAATTGGGAAGCACTAAGCCGCTCCTTCCCAAATTATCTATAGTGCGTAGCAGTCCATACAGAAAAAGACACTTGTATAGAAACCCGGAATCCAAATACTAGGGGACAGTCCTTGTTACTCCATCACGAACAAGGAAACAAATGAATTTCATTATAAACATCCCTCTATTTCCCTCCCATTTCATCACATCTACCTCCCATAAATAACCCCCACCCAGGAAAGAAGTGCAAAGAATTCATTCACAGCATCCAACTCCCAATACTAAACTACAAAGACAAAACATGGCTTTCACGATATTCCAGAATAATAACCTAGTAAAATCTGAGAATGCAAGTTTGTTAGCAGCAATATTGAATAATTTTGGAAATTCCACCAACTATGGAATATCCAAATGAGAGAACACATTAGCTTCATATTGGATTGAGAGAACATCAACTAGTGATAAGACACAAGGGAAGAAACCCTTGAAACTATACAAAGTTAAGAGAAAAGTGTCATTGTATATAATTTGATTCATTCAAAGGAAAAAAACAAGTAAATTATTAATCACTACAGGAAGCATATTTTTATGTTTCACCTGCATAGCTAAGAATCCAAACTTTTCTTTCTGTCGATGGGAAATTGTTCTCACCTGTGCAGGAACAGTTACAGCTAACGTTGCAGGAATATTTTTGGGTTCAAGCAAGACGGATATTTGATTGAGAACTGACCCTGAAAGCACGTTTCCAAAAAAAACGTTCCATATTGTGAACCAAAGTACTTTCTCACATGCACTTTTTTCAATCTCGCTAGTACAGATATATCCTTGAAAGGTGGAGAGGAACCTCATGACAGGAGGCACCAATCTTATAAATATCAGAAGAATGAGACTGGGAAGGTACCCTGTAACTATTTCACTGACGAATGATCTGCAAAACCAACCAGAAGGTTCAGTTTATGTTAGATGATAATTGCTGAAAACAATTATAAGAACCGAACATCAGAACATTCAACCTTCTGAGTTCTGAGAAATTACCATGCTAATTGCAAGCAAACCATGTAAGAAGTTACTATAGATTATGAGATATGTACAGACATTTGAGGAAGTATGGGATTTTTTAGATCATAGGGTTGATAATTCTTCTACACTGGGATCTTCTATTTATGCAACACTCATTGGAAGTGAGAGGACTGAATCCACCAAAACTAATTTCAAGGGAAAAAAGGTCAGTTAAACCACCGAACAATACAGACTAGTGCGACTCTGCTTTCATGCAATCAAATGAAATTGTTTGTATGTGCCAAATACAGAGAAAAGATGGTGATTGAAACAAGAAAAAAATGTGTGACCTTGTAAGAAATAGGGTTAACTCATCATCTTCACACTCAAAAGGAGAGAGAGAGGTGTTTCACAAACGGCAAGGGATATGAAAATGAACAGAAACACAATCTCAAATTGTCATAAATCGACTCCACTTGCATAGAAAGATTATATAGAGCAATCTCAAATTGTCACAAGTCAACTCTTGCATTGAAAGATTGCATGGGTCTATATAGGCTTGCTGCCAATCCTACAACTATGACTATGGCTTCAAATGGGAAACTTAGAACAACTACGATATTCCAGACCTAATAAAGACACAATAACATGATTTTGACCCATAAAAAGACCCATAGGAAACCCATGTCCAGCAATGTACAAAATTACCAGAATACCCCGAACTACTAACATGGCAAACCCTAATATAAGGCCATAAAATCTGTCCAAAAGCGTAATGATTTACAAAATACAAAAAAAATAAGGCTCAAGCTAATGCTAAACATGATTACACAAAGCCCTAGGTGTACTCTGTGAAATTTCATATTTGCCTAGTTTATGCTTTCCATGCTCGTTATCAGTAATCCACCAAGTGACAAGATTCAAGCATAGAACCTAACTACCAGCTCTGATAACATGACGTTAAAAATTGATTGCTCTAAAAGATGAATCATTGTAATAAAAATCAATATAAATCAATCAATAATACAATTCTCTATTTCTCTTTATACATTAAATTTCTGCAAAAATTGATTGCTCTAAAAGTTTAAGCTAGAAGTGGACCGTAATAATATGAAATTCAACAAATAATGGCAGTCTCAAACAGGAGCTGCAGGAGACAACCAAGCCTCTGCTTCCTCTCACTAAATTGTAGAAGCCACATTGCTGAGTAAAGCAAATATAATGCAAAGAATGTTTGTTAATTTCTAATAATGAGACAATAAAAATAATGAAGCATCTAAACTCTTAGGATACCCATTTCTATAAGAGTTACATGCTATATTCAGGACTTTTAATCAGGTCTCGCTCAATTTAGTAGAAAAACCATCACAATGAATTATCAGTAGCACAATTATGCGTGACTTCAATAAATTTTAAACTAAATATATATATATATATATATTGTCAAAATGATACCAATAGTAGACAAAGAAAAAGATAACAAATGTACTCAAAATTGACTCAACAACAAATATATATATTTTGTCAAAATGATACCAATAGTTGACAAAGAAAAAGATAACAAATGTACTCAAAATTGACTCAACAACAATTTATCAATTAACCATGAAAAATACTCCCTTGGTACAATTTTATGTGGCAAGGTTGACCACTTAAAGTTTGAGGAAAGCATCTTTGGAAAGTATGTTTACGAAAATGCACTTGGTCTTATTTGATTATTATTATTTTGGGTGTTAGGATTGTATTTCAATTTTAATTTAAAGAAGGATAATATGGCAAAATGAAGATTAAACTTTTGAAATTCAAAACTTTTAAACACAAAAAATGGGGAGCCTCTAATGCACCCCAAAGTGAGAGAGACAGAGAAAGAGAGAGAGTTGCAAGCAAAAGAGGAAGGGTGGGGAGGGGTTGTGGTGTAGCAGCCGGAGATGGGGAGGGCATGGCAGCCAAAGGTGGGGAGGGCCTAGGGAGCGGCAACTGGAGCTGGGGAGGGGGCTGGGGTGGCTACCGGAGGTGGTGGTCAGCAACCAAAAGGAAGGTAGGTGGTGACTAAAAGTGGGTGTAGGGAGAAATGGGGGTTGTAGAGAATTAGGATTTTGTCCTTATTGATAATGTCACTTGTGAGGATAATGGTATTTAAAAAAATCAACAAATGGGGGTCCCCAACAATTTTTTCGGGGTGCATTTAGAGGGAGACTCATAAAATTGGATGCAGTAGGATACCAATAAAAGAAGTTAAGGTTCCTAATTGCTTGGAAGTATACCATGTGGCAGCAAAATTAGGCCCAAAAACTAACTTCTCCACCAAAAGGTTTCTGTCACTTGATCAGTTTCCAAGCACAAAGCAAGTTGTGTATCCGATGCCTAATACCTCCAGTAGTAGTAACACAAAACCAAAATCTGTGTGGCTTAACATAATACTGCTTAGATTTTTCCACATAATGTAAGTACTGGAGGCGGATATCACGTGATGATGTCCTAGAATACCATCCTTAAAAGTAAATTTCTCTATATCCTCTTTCTAGAAATAAAATTTCGTGTGGACTTCATATTTGTCTTGAAATTCTTGTGCTACTGGCCAGTTGTTAATTACAAATAAATAATGATGGCAAGAAAGAGTTAATAACAACAACAACAACAACAACAAAAAATTAAAAATTCTAAAAAGAACTGCTTACAGCGACAGAATGCTTTCCAGGGCGGGAAACCAAACTTCCAACTGAGCCAAGTTAGCAAGACCTTGCACGAATACAACAGGAATAAGAAACAAAACTGTAAGATCAAAGTATGCAAATATAACCACCAGTTTAGAAATCCATCTTCCCATGAATGTTGATGAAAAGAAAGGCCAGTAAACATCACGAGGCTCAGGGGCTTGCTCTGTAACCCACTGTGTGGGGTTGTTTGATTGTTGCATGTGTAAAGCAATTGCAGCACCATACCGAGACTTGAAGGACACAAAGGCAGCTCTAACTTCCTTGTGTTCAAAGAATAAGAAAAATAAACCCATTAGCTATCACATTGGCATCTACAAACCACCCTAATCAAAAAAAACTAGTATCAATTTCAACTTTTAAATTTGTCAATAAGCATTTAACACTAGCAAGCACACAAAAATAGTAAAGGAACAGAACTTTCAACTTTCTTCTTCCTGATTCACCCAAAGAAAAAAAAACTTTCTTCTTCCTGAAAAAATTTCATGATAATGTGACATACCAAAGAAAACACTCAAATAATGATGGAGCTTTGACAAAAGGGTGCACAAACACTAAAAAAACACTAGCACACAGAAATAGTTTCTACAATCCTAGAGTTCAGTTTTCATTTTATTTAAACATTTCAACCTTTAGGTTCAATTACGTTTTCAGGAAAATAAATAAATAAATAACTGACAATTTTTTATTTGAGACTTTCAATTTACCACCTAAATTGCATCAAATCTCTCTTAAGAGTTGAAACCATGCGGCTATGCATCACACTCTTGCAGCAAGTAAGTTGCATTGAGCAATTGAATCAGCAGCAGCAAAACTATCATAGTTAATATTGCACCTATGCACCTCTCCCGAACAAGAAATCTAAAAAGTAATCACCATGCAAGGTACATGAATATATCATTCTAGCAAGATGATCAAACTTTCCACAAATGTATTCATTCCATGTTCTATCTTGTCATGTAACACCACTCATATTAGATGACAGGAACACAATATTATATAGGCGCATGCAAGAACTCTGTGGAAAATAGTGGAACATTAAACAAGTTTCAAAATTGGATGATCCTATATCTCTAAATCTATGAATTCTAGCATGGAAATCCCCTTAATGAGGCCCAAGATATTATTATCTTAGGAACTTTGGAACTCTTTACTCTCTTTGCTCTCATCTGGATTGCTTCTTTATATAGTTGTTACTTGGTAAAAACATTATACATAAAGATAACTGCATAGAAAGAAGGTCAAAGAAAAAGTTACATGATGGGAAGGAACGCATGCTTCGTATGTGTAACGATTTGTACAAAAGATCATAAGACCAATGTCTTAGCCAAGCCCCTTGCAAATTCAACATCAATGTATCATGTAAACAGACCAGTTAAATAGTGAATAATATATTATTTGGAAAAATTAGCAAAGGCAAAGTAACAAGGCAATGTCTTAGCTAAGCCCCTTGCAAATTCAACACCTATGTATCATGAAAACAGACTGGTTAAATAGTCAAATAATATGCTGTGGAAAAATTAGCAAAAGGAAACCACCGGGGTTAGCCTAGTAGCCAGAGCCCGTGTTCCTCAATAGGAGGTCACAATTCAACTCCCCCTTCCCCCTCCCAAAAAAAAAAACAGAACAAAACAAAAAAGCAAAAGCAATGCCTGTTATAACATAGCAGTCAATGGTAGATAGAAATCAATTGCTGAACACAACCACAATATTTCCAATTTATTGATAACATTTTTATATTCAAAGTGAGAATCTCTTTGAAAACACCAATGACATATTTCACAGGACACGTAGGGGTGTGCTTCCCTCCATTTGTATTGTGATGTCTATCACTACATAAAGTACAGATAAAGCATATATAAGGATAGAAATCCACACATGCTCATATGCATACGTTGAACTGTTGGAAAAAGACAAGAAAACAGTCAAGCACATACTTCCCCTGCCAATGAAGCCTCTGATTGCCCCAATCTCAAATTTTCCTCTAAATCTTCCAACTTCTTTTCATACTGATCTACAAGATTAACCTTGTGCTTGAACAGTCCACAGCAGCCATCATGCTCAAATTTCGGTTGATTTGATTCAGTTCGTAAGCGAATAAGCCTTTCATACTGTTTCTTCATGTCATTCTGACAAGGACATGAAGCAGTAGTTAGAAAAATAAGGCACAGGATAGGTAATACAATTGCTCACAACTAAGAAGCTTGGTCCACCTGTAATTCTTAAGAGTGGAGACCGAATTGAAAATATTAGTAACATTATGCCTACATTTAGAATTAGAAGATCAGTTTTTCATGCACATGAAGGAGTTTACAGAAAATCTACTTCTCAAAGAGTTTCCGGATAAAATGCCTTAAAGATGAAGTAAGGAGTGGAAGAATCTATGACCTTCACCTATTTCCCATCTGATTTTCTAATCGACATTTTCAACTACAAATAAAGTTAATTTTAAAATTTTGAATTGTATAGTAATTAATGTTTCTCCCGGAAAAATTTAAGAAATTCCACATCTTTTAACCAAATTTGCTGTCAGGTCAGGAGTCAGGACACTTGAATGGTTTATGTAGAACTCTTGTAAATTCCCATGTGAGAATGCAGCCCTAACATCAGACCAAAAAGGCCATTACAAGTTTTGTACAATTGAGAGGACAACAAAACCGAGTTGATCTTTAGTGCTGGAAATACTTTTTTGGAATATGTTTAGTGTACATGAGGTACTGGCTTCACCTTCTATTGCATTTTGAGAAGTAGGGACACGAGCCACAAATATGACACAATATAGACATGGAAACACAACATTTTCTAAAAAAAAATAACACAACCTATCAACAAATAAATATATATTTTTTATATGTATACATAAAACTAATAAAAGTTCTTGAAAATAAGCAATTCCCCCAATTCAAATTCCCTAAATATATCTTGATTCCACTTGCCATTCAGATACAAGCAGTCAATAGCATAACATAGTAGATTCTTCATAGAACAAAAAATGCTAAAGTGTCTAAACAAAACCATCCTTAATAGATTGGGAGTAGAGTAGGTAATAAGGATCAGACCAAACCAAACTAAGCTTAGTGCCCCAATCAGGTGGAGTTGGCTACAAGAATCTTTTTTCATCATTCTACTCTATCAAGTGCTACATGCTCAATCCAATTAAATAAATAAATAAATTTACTACTACATCCCATGTTAGTTTAGGTCTTGCCCTCCCCCATAGCATTTTCATTTATAATGATCATATTACTATTTCTTATTGTTGCATCTAAACATCTTTATTATATATAATCAAACTTTCATAGCATTTCCACTTTTTCCAACATTTTCATTGTATGACCCATCAACTTAATGACTCTATTGCAACTTTGGATATTTTCTTTAATTTTATATATAGGCATTAAAATACTTTCTCTACTCGTCACATATTTGTTTATTCTGTAGAAATTTAATGTATAAAGAGAAATAGAGAATTGTATTATTGATTGATTTATATTGATATCTATTACAATGATTCATGATTCCTATATATATAAGAGGGTGAGTGTGTAGTAGGTAAGGAATAGGTGAAGTGGAGGTGGTAGTGGTGTAGTGGGTTAGGTTTAGTGGGTTAGGTTTAGTGGAGTAGGTTTAAGTGGGTGAAGTAGGTGGAGAGTAGGTGGATTTTAACAGCCCCCCGCAAACTCAAGGGGGATAGGAACTAACCAACTTGAGTTTGGAGAGAGTAACAAAACAAGAAAATACATAAAAATAAAAGAGGATAAAAGACACTGTATGGTCGTGTATTGGTGCTTCAGGTATGAGTTGCTCATTACCACTTGGTTTCGGCCTTCGTGAGTAGACTAGTGTCTCCTTGTTATTCTGTTGTTCTATCTCTCCCCCTGAGTTTAAGTTTCCTTCTGTAACGGGCAAGGAAGTGGAGTTGGATGGTAGATTGGTGAGAGGAAAGTCGAGCGAAAACATGTCACCATTAGAGTCATGTCGAGTCTGAGATTCACTCATATTCTCCCCCTGAATTGAAGACTTGGGATAGAATGGAGTTGTCTCGAAAAAGGTGACATCAAGACTGAGAAAGAGACGGCGGGAAATAGGGTCATAGCACTTGTAACCTTTTTGGGATGGAGAATACCCAAGGAAGACACACTTGGTGGCCCGAGGATCCAGCTTGGTGCGCTGGTGAGGATGGACATGCACAAAGGCAGTGCAGCCAAATAAACGAAGAGGAAGAGTGGACTGCAGCCGAGAGGTAGGAAAAAAATTCGTATGTTGTATTTTGAAATATTTTAACTAAAAATACAACAAAGACTTGGTCACAACAATCAAAAATATTAACTGATTTGAAACTACAGTCTTGTTGCCTAAATATATTACAAAATATGTCCCAAGACCACAATTCACCAAAAATAGTAAGACACCTCACATTTTTTTAATTCTTGTGAATGTTGCATATTCCTTTTTTGGTCATCCCTAGACAATTCATACATACTATTTTGTTACTTGTTCTCCAAACCTTCCATAGAAAAACTCTATAAATAACCCCCTTGTTAATTTCTTCATTCATTCCTCAATAAATTGAATCTTGCAACACAAAAAAAATAAAAAAAGAATCATTCCGATCTTCTTACATTACATTACGACAATAACTCAATGGACAAACAATACTTAAGTGGAGTGGGCGAGGCCACACCTAGGAGAGAGAAGAAAGTTTTACAGACTGATAGACCCCCGGCTCGAAGGCCACTTCTCGATAAAAGGTGCCCAAAAAGCCGCACAGTTGGCTGCTCGCTGCCTTAGCCGGGACCCAAAAGCCCGACCTCTGATGAGTGAAGTTGTCGAAGCGTTAAAGCCTCTGCCAAACCTCAAGGACATGGCCAGCTCATCATATTACTTCCAGACAATGCAGGCTGACCGTTCAAGTCCCAATGCTAGAAACGGTTTAAGAACGCATGTTGGGTCGTTTTCGAGGAACGGGCAGCAACATCCGAGGAGATTACTCCACACTAGAAGTACCTTAAATTTGTGTAAACTGTAGAAATTTAATGTATAAAGAGAAATAGAGAATTGTATTATTGATTGATATTTATGTTATGGTTACAATGATTCCTATATATAGGAGAGGGTGAGTGTGTAGTAGGTAATGAGTAGGTGAAGTGGATGTGGTAGTGGTGTAGTGGGTTAGGTTTAGTGGAGTAGGTGAAGTGGTAGTGTTGTAGTGGGTTAGGTTTAGTGGAGTAGGTGAAGTGGTAGTGTTGTAGTGGGTTAGGTTTAGTGGAGTAGGTGAAGTGGTAGTGTTGTAGTGGGTTAGGTTTAGTGGAGTAGGTGAAGTGGTAGTGTTGTAGTGGGTTAGGTTTAGTGGAGTAGGTGAAGTGGTAGTGTTGTAGTGGGTTAGGTTTAGTGGAGTAGGTGAAGTGGTAGTGTTGTAGTGGGTTAGGTTTAGTGGAGTAGGTGAAGTGGTAGTGTTGTAGTGGGTTAGGTTTAGTGGAGTAGGTGAAGTGGTAGTGGTGTAGTGGGTTAGGTTTAGTGGAGTAGGTTTAAGTGGGTGAAGTAGGTGGAGAGTATGTGGATTTAGTGGGTTAGGTTTAGTGGAGTAGGTGAGGTGGTAGTGGTGTAGTGGGTTAGGTTTAGTGGAGTAGGTTTAAGTGGGTGAAGTAGGTGGAGAGTATGTGGATTTAGTGGGTTAGGTTTAGTGGAGTAGGTTTAAGTGGGTGAAGTAGGTGGAGAGTATGTGGATTTAGTGGGTTAGGTTTAGTGGAGTAGGTGAGAGTGGGTGAAGTAGGTGGAGAGTAGGTGGTGGGTTAGGTTTAGTGGAGTAGGTGAGAGTGGGTGAAGTAGGTGGAGAGTAGGTGGTGGGTTAGGTTTAGTGGAGTAGGTGAGAGTGGGTGAAGTAGGTGGAGAGTAGGTGGTGTAGTGGGTTAGGTTTAGTGGAGTAAGTGGAGGTGGTAGTGGTGTAGTGGGTTTAGTGGAGTAGGTGAGGTGGTAGTGGTGTAGTGGGTTAGGTTTAGTGGAGTAGGTGAGAGTGGGTGAAGTAGGTGGAGAGTAGGTGGTGTAGTGGGTTAGGTTTAGTGGAGTAGGTGAGAGTGGGTGAAGTAGGTGGAGAGTAGGTGGTGTAGTGGGTTAGGTTTAGTGGAGTAGGTGAGAGTGGGTGAAGTAGGTGGAGAGTAGGTGGTGTAGTGGGTTAGGTTTAGTGGAGTAAGTGGAGGTGGTAGTGGTGTAGTGGGTTTAGTGGAGTAGGTGAGGTGGTAGTGGTGTAGTGGGTTAGGTTTAGTGGAGTAGGTGAGAGTGGGTGAAGTAGGTGGAGAGTAGGTGGTGTAGTGGGTTAGGTTTAGTGGAGTAGGTGAGAGTGGGTGAAGTAGGTGGAGAGTAGGTGGTGTAGTGGGTTAGGTTTAGTGGAGTAGGTGAGAGTGGGTGAAGTAGGTGGAGAGTAGGTGGTGTAGTGGGTTAGGTTTAGTGGAGTAAGTGGAGGTGGTAGTGGTGTAGTGGGTTTAGTGGAGTAGGTGAGGTGGTAGTGGTGTAGTGGGTTAGGTTTAGTGGAGTAGGTGAGAGTGGGTGAAGTAGGTGGAGAGTAGGTGGTGTAGTGGGTTAGGTTTAGTGGAGTAGGTGAGAGTGGGTGAAGTAGGTGGAGAGTAGGTGGTGTAGTGGGTTAGGTTTAGTGGAGTAGGTGAGAGTGGGTGAAGTAGGTGGAGAGTAGGTGGTGTAGTGGGTTAGGTTTAGTGGAGTAAGTGGAGGTGGTAGTGGTGTAGTGGGTTTAGTGGAGTAGGTGAGGTGGTAGTGGTGTAGTGGGTTAGGTTTAGTGGAGTAGGTTTAAGTGGGTGAAGTAGGTGGAGAGTAGGTGGATTTTAACATATTCATTAGAATTTTATTAACAAAAACACCCCCTCCATACCTAAGCATGTCTAAATCTCAATAGGGATACAATCTGATTCTATTGTCTTACCTAGTTTCGAACCAGATTTCATCCACTTCAGTGCAAATTCCACCTCAAACTCTATTAATCGACAATAAACTTATATTTGTTAGTTCCAATCCAACAAGCCTATTGGCTATTGTATTCCTCTCCTCTTAAGTTTTCTAAATATTTTTCATTTTATCAATTTCTGAAAATAACTTTTTCCACCATTCCTTATGCTGGAAATTTGTGTTATAATAAGATAGTGGCATGTATATAATATGATAGTGGTGTTGGTGGTAGATAGTGGCATGTATAGAATATGATAGTGGTGTTGGTGGTAGATAGTGGCATGTATAGAATATGATAGTGGTGTTGGTGGTAGATAGTGGCATGTATATAATATGATAGTGGTAGATAGTGGTAATATATAATATGTAAGTGGCATATAATGGGTTATAATGATGTTTGTAATATCTCCTATATAAGGAGTGTCATTTGGTCTTGTAAAATAAGAAGTTTTGAATATAACAGAAATATATTCCTTCTTCCTCATATTTTCGGAGTTCTTCTTCCTCCTCATCTTTTCCTAGTACCTTATTTTCCTCATCTTTCACTAAAACCCTCAAATCCTCATTTTTTATGCACTTACCCAATTAAAGTCTCTTTTTTACTTTCTTTTCATTTAGCAAGTTTGTAAATATTTTTTCTCCATCTTTACCATCTAATCTAATATAAAGATTGCCACAGACTTTTATATTAGCATCTCTAAATGTCCTTTTAACCTCCTTATAAGCCAATTTACATCTCTTAAAAAAAATTCTCATCTTTATCCTTTTGCCACTTTTAAAAAACACTTCTTTTTTTTTTTCCAAGAGCAAGGATCTTTAGCTATAGGGATTTTTCCCTTTGACTGTCCAACGATTCCTCACCATATTCTCTTAATGCGTTCTGCCATTGTATTCTGCATATTATTAATATCACCTACCACACTTGCTTTTTTAAACATTTTGTCTTTAAATATTTCTAATTTCTAAGCTTTTAGAATCCACTTTTCTTTAATGTATATATATAGCATTGTTAGCCCAAGTTGTAATGTTACACTCTTTTCTAGGAATAAACTTACAATCTTTACATATTAAGCGGTATTTTTTCTTGCAAGAAAATAATATATTTCTCTCTTATTTGACCCACTTTTAGTAGTTATTATGTGTTCTCTCTTTTTAAAGAACTGTTGGTTACTATAAGATTAAATTCTACTACAAAAAATCATGAATCATTGTAATAGATATCAATAACATTATATCAATCAATAATACAATTCTCTATTTCTCTTTATACATTAAATTTCTACAATATGAGGAGTTACTAATAAGAAAAATCAACAAAATTCAAAATGCCCAACCATAATTAAGTAGTGGAAGTTGAGTTACGAGACACATCAAAGTACTAAAGGGAAAACAGATATGTTAAAAAATATTATTTAGCCATATGTTAGCCATCATTCAACATAGAAATGTCAACAGAAAATTCACTAACATGTAAAACAAGCACTTGGGATACTCCATTATATTATAATAATGAAACGAGATTTGTAAAAGACAACTAATCCAAAACGGAGAAACACAAACATCATATTCTAAAGCAAAAGTTCTGTAAAAAAGAAGAATTCAAATTCAAATAAAATGCTTACAATGAGATTTTGAAGTTTGTTTGTTCGGCGAATCACCATATGTGATAGATATGTAGAAGGATGAAATTCCGTGAAAAAGCTCTCAACGGTGTCACTGACACTGATCCCAGCAGAGACGGGGACACTATGAACCAAAATGGTAAATTGATGTGGCTGAGGTTTTGACGAATAAAAATAAGCAACTCTCTTTGAAGATATATATCCATATTCCTACACAAACAATTACTATTCAGCACCAATTCAACTTCTGTACAGCTCATATGTTCATAAACACCTAATTTATTGTTTAACAAAAAAAATGTCCTAAAAAACATGAAGAGGAAATGTGACATGGAACTAATAAACCATCCAAGCCCACAAAAATAATGCATTCATGATAAAAGTTTGAAGGTATTAAAAAAAAGGCCAAGATGTTGGGGCAGTCCATTCATGTTTAAAAAATCAATTGGATATCATCAAGTACAACTGGACAGAGGTATGACTTACATAATAAAGAAGATAACAGACAAAGATGGTGACAATATATATAGCAGTGAAGTGTATCCATAACCTGCCAAAAAGACCAAACTTATGGTGAGGTTCCCTTCACATTTCCCTTGGCTACAATAGTACAAGGAAAACTGATATTATGCATGCAATAAGAATATATTCAGAGTCATGCAGTTCAATAACACTGAGGGCGACCACCATCTGCATAACATGCTCCGATCACCAAGCGACATCTAGTTAAGTAGGGCAAAATGTAATATAGAACCAATCAGGATTCAAGTGTGGATTTGGATGCAGGTAATAGTGTGTGTCTCATGCTGATCCCAAAATAATAATAATAATTATGTGTGTGAGTTTCGTACTTATAAAGAGGGAAGGGGGTAACCATAAAAAATAAAAACTACTTCATTACAATCAAATATTGAGGTCATAGTCACCTTTTTGAGCCATTGTTTACATTTGATATGCTAAATACGTCCAAAGAATCATTTGTCAAGTTAGCAAAGTCGACATTCTCAAGCTGATTTCCTGAGCAGTTCACTGGAAGAAGAACAAAGACCCCAATAATCCCAGCACCACAAAATACTCTCAAACTGCATCATTTAGATGGGGGGGAAATGATTGAAAAACAGAAGCAAACCTAAAAATACAAAATTAAACATTGATTGAAAACAGAAACAGCAACAGGGGTAACAACAATAATGGACATTACCAATAATGATGAAAAAGAAAAGAAAAACAATAAGTAGAGGAGACCAAGCTGAATACTTTCCCAGTTATATAGAAATCAACGATTCTAATGCATATTATATATATCCATGTCAAGAAACAATACAGTTAGGATAGCTAATTCAATTGTCTGGATATGAAATACACTGACCAGTGGCATTGAGTCCTTTTATTATAATATTGTTTGATGTTTTCCTGTTGGTTAGCTGCAACTTGCCCCTTATTTTTTTTGTTATGGCTTACAATTTCAAATTACAAAGGAACAATAGGAGAACAGAGTGATCCTGAACTATATATTATGATGCTGATCATGCACATTTTGCATAACTTATATTTGCTCAACGGATACAATATGCTCATCATAAAACTTCAGATGGATTCAATGTACGTTTATCTTGAACGAGTGACCCAGCATTCAACATGGGTTGAAGAATAGTAATTCACTATAATTTTTTTTTCTTTTTTCTATTTTTTTTGTTGGTAAATAACCAAACTTTATGAGAAAGCATCAAGATGATGCAAAGAATACAAAAAAAAGGCCTCAAAAGCTCGACCAAGCTAACAAATCCAATCCTCCACGAAATCTACAAAAGCCAACACATCCAGATCTACTAAACCTGTCACCCAACTATACAAAGCTGTAAGAAGCCGCCTCTTTAACCAAGGGATGGAGTGAGCCACCCCTTGGAAACACCCACCTATTGCGCTCCAACCAAATCAACCACAACTTAACGCCAGTCAAAAAGTAAGAGACTCGCAAAGCTTCCACCCACCTCCCAACCCCCCCCCCCTACCCAACTCTGCAAAACTGCATACACAGAACCCGGTTGAACCCAAATAAAACCAAAAAACTGGATCCTGGAGACTTTTTGGTTCAATTTTTATTATACTTCAACAGGGGTCAAGAATTTCTCTCCCAATCACACAAGCATCATACCATCAGTTTATGTATAGTCTAAATGTGTTTTGTCATAGTCCAATAAGAGAAGTTCAATTAAACATGTAAAGCTTAACTTTTCTTGAAAATAAATAATATGCCTTATGAAGGACCCAAATTACCAGAAGATCACAATGCGCATGAATACCACAGCATCCAAACCTGAAGATGCAAGTAATTCCTCTTCAGAAGGCTTCCATGCCCTTCTGACCCACCCAGGAGTAGGTAATAGCCTTTCTAAGTTAAAACCAGTTCTTTGATGAGACATCCCATCAGCCAACAAGCGTGGTATAAAAACATCATAATTACCTGGCTGTTTCCTCAAGACAGAATACAATGTGAAGAATAAAATACAAAGGCCAAAATTTATTCCAACAGATGTCAAGAGAGCAGAAACAATCATTTTTCCAGAAGGAACGTCAAAATCTCTGTGAAGAAATCTCATAAAATTTTCCCGACCAGCACCTCAACTGCACCAAACACAAGGAAATACTTGATTATGGCCAAATAAAATTATTTAATAAAATGCATAAGCAAATGCAATAACAGCAGCATCACTGTCTGTTTGGACTTCTACAAGTGGTGAAAAAATAATACTGCATCTGCTGCGAGGGAAATTTGTCAAGAGAAAGAGAGAGATGAAAAGGCAATCTGACGTATTGCTTCCAAAAGAAAATTTACTTCTCTCATCACGTAAGACCTGGAAATCCATGTACAGTACCAGGTTTAATTGCTCTTTTTAAACAATTGATCTTTTACTTAACCAAAAAAAGAAAAAACCTAGTTTAATCCGACAATGAGACATCCTAAAAGCAGATCATATATATAAATGATATAATACAAATGGAGGGCACTGGACCATGAGCATGTGTATATGTATGTATAATGTATCCATACATGTAAAGAAAACTTGTAGGTTTTCATTCACCAATTAGACTTTACGGTAGCTGGGTGCATACGTAGTAGGGTTGAAGATCACACCTAGAGCAGGAGAAATTTCATTCTAAACCAGAGAGAGAGAGAGAGAAATTCATCAATGACATAATGGTTCAAATATGGATTTGCTGCTCCTAACCAAGGCTGCCAATGAATCAAAGCCACTCAGTCCACTCTCAAGCTTTAGTGATCAAAGCTTGCTTGATCAATTGATGAGCAAATGCTAGCTCAACCCATTCTCAAACTTTAGCAATTGAGGGCCAAACTAAGCCCGTCAATCGGTCAAGCAAGCTCGTTTCATCCTAAGATTTAAAAACAAAGAGCCAGATCCAAAGCCATAAAAATGTCAAACAATGTCAAAACCTAACTGGATGATTATTTTTTAACAAACCAGTGACCTCAAATCCACACTCTGGGCAAATGCTCCCAACTGAACTCCTAGCATTCATAATATTTCAAGGAACTTATAAAGTTTATGTACGACATTGGGTCGAGTTTGGACCCGAATTCAGGGTGGCATGACACGATCACCCATGTTAGGTAGATGGGGTTTGCTGTATTTAGACTCCACCTTATCTTCGAGATACGGGTAGTTAACAATAGAGCCAGCCTTTTTACTTTGGATTTGTGGGTAACACTCACCTCATAGTGTTACTCCATCACTAACTATTGAAAGATTTGCTTGTGATTGATCAAACATTTAGAACACATGATTCACTCTGGTTCGTTGGATTTGGATTATAGTGCAAACGGTAGGTCCAAAATTCGTTTCACTTCCACTAGTATTCATGGTTAAGACAGAATTGTTGTAAGGCTGCTTTGAATTGAACCCATAACTACAAAAAAAAAATTAAGAGTAAAAGCGGTAAATATTTTAGGACTAATTAACAACCAAGCACCAGGAAAGATGCAGCTTCCACCAAGGAACCATTGGAACACAATGAAAGGAAATATATATATATATATATGGCTCATGAAAGGGCGCTAACGATCCTCTATCCCAAAAATTCTCTATTCCCAATTCACCCACAACTGTTTGATCAAACCTCAAGATTCTTACATAATCCAACAAATGTGAGTGAATTGAGAAAGGGCGACGGAGGTACCCTGGATGAAAGATTGAAATTGGGGGAAGATAAAGGGGGGTGTAGCTTGAAATACTTAAAACAAGTAGCAAAACTTGCAAAACCCAGCAGGGTTAACTCAACAGTCATTTTCAAAACACGAGTTCCTCTAATCAATCAAAATTCTCCAACATAACAGAGTCCAAGAATCTCCACTGAATTTTTTTTCTTCCAAATCCAATAATTTGAATTGGAATTCGACAAACCAGAAAAGAAGAAGACAAAAACAAAACTACCCTATAAATCAGTCATTTTCAAAACATGGGTTCCTCTAATCAATCAATATTCTCCAACATAACAAAGTCAAAGAATCTCCCATCATATTTTTTCTTCCAAATCCAACAATTTGAAATGAAATTCAACAACCCAGAAAGAAGAATACAAAAACAAAGCTACCCTAGAAAAAAGAGCAAAATCTAATAGTCATCAAGAAAAGAAAAAAGCCATTAAAGTAAAAGCAAAATCAATTGTAAAAAGTCAAGAAAAGCACAAAAAACCTGGTTCAGGTTTTTGGGTAACTGGGTGAAGAAACCGATTTGGAAGAGACTGTGTTGACGAAGCAAGTGATGATATGCTCTTTTGGATTCTTTTGAGATAATTTAGAGATTATTTGCTTAATAAGGAACAGTGATTTTAATCATCAGTCATAGATGGCCTGAAATGGTATGGTACGATGCACAACGTCTAGTCAAAACGAATCGAACTAGCGGTTAGCTGTTACCGTCTAGCCAACAAGATTAGATTTGTTGTTGTAAGGCTGTTTGGTTCGGGGGGAAATACTGTGGTCCCGTTTGTTTTCAGAGATAGAATGGAGGAGATTTATAATAGGAGGATTGTTAGTGAAGAGATTAATAGTGAGAAATTGTTAAATTATTTTTATATAAAATAATAAAACAAATAAAAAAATATAAAAAATTAAACATTATATTTAAAAAAAATTCCCAATATATAAAAAATAAAAAATAAAAAAAAATTCTAATCCCCTCATTATTTTTTTAATACTATCTTTACCTCCTCATTACCAATCCCCCTTCATCCTCCTTACTAATATCAATGGATTACTAATTCTCTCCATATCTCTCAAAATAAACATCATATTCTCAATCTCCTCCTCACTACCAAACACAATCTCTTCCCTATAACCCCAAACAAACGGGCATGTGCTCTCATGATACACGCTCACCTGAAATTTCAGCACTTTCCATCAAGAAAATATCAAGCGTAGTCACTTTCTATTTCTCTATTTTTAAAGATAACAGTCATATATTTTCTTATACTAATAGTGGGGTTTAGAAATTGATTTTTTTAGTTGATTTTTAATTTCTTTATAAAAAGATATGTAAAAAAATATAAATAATAAATTACAAATGAGCAATTTAGAAACTTGATAAAAAGTCAATTTTTTAATTTTTTAATTTTTTATCAAGTTCTCCCAAAAAAAGTCACCAAAAAAATTAAATTTTTTTGTCAAAAAAGTCAAAAAAATAAAAAATTAATTAATTTTTTATCAACTTTTCAAAATACTCCTACCTTTTTACACTGTTTTTTTTTTTTTTTTTTTTTTTTTTTTCCCCAAAAAAACTTAAAAGAATATGATCATTTAAAATAACGGCGGAGCAAGACACATCCACATTTGTAATATTTTGTTCCTACCTCAATCCTTGTTGGGTGGGGAAACAGAGAGGTGGTGGGGGTAGGACGGGCGAGGCGAGATAATTTGTCACATTTGGAAGAAAGATATACTAATGAGATGATTAATGAAAACTTAAAAATTAAAATCAGATAAAAAGGTAATTGACATATACATAAATATTAGCATATCACCCGTAATGTATACGTGATAAAATAATATATTATTTAATAAAAATATAATATTTATATTTAATTTTTTTTATATTATGTAAAAAAAAGTTAAATACAAATTAGTCAATCGAGATTTTCTTAATATGAGATATTGATCATAAGATTTCTCACTCAAAATCTTATTTTACTTATATAAACAGGAGTATAAGATTCATTTTATATAAGTGAAACAATTCACTTTTTTTCTTGTTTTCTCGATGTGGGATTATAAAATAAAAGTTAAATGAAAACTAACCTGTAGCGCCCCTCTTTTTACTACTCAGAAGCATTATCAGATTCATTAAGATAATTCAATTTCAAAGATAACATGTGAAAAACTTTTTACATCAACGAGTAAAAATAAATAAAGATTTTCTCATCCGAATGCAAATTAAATGCAACATGTATATAACTAAATAAATTGTCCGTAGACTTACATCTCCAAAGTAAAATAAAGAGTTTAACCCTTTTACATCAATGGCATTCCGTTCACAAATAAAAGGCCCTGTGGCCAATAGGTAAAGAAGATCCATGACCTTGAAACACTCCTCGCCATTTACCTGAAAAGGGATTAGCAACGTGGGATGAACATAAAGTCCAGTAGGAATCTTAACATAATCCTAAACAATAGCAACGTACACATAGCTATGATCATGAATGCTTAGTCTCATACTGTATAAATAATGTGATGGTTTATACAAAAATATATGTATAAAAGACATTTCTCAAAATCATTCATTTCATTCTATGACTTAAGCATTTCACTTTTCTTTCTTTCTTTCTTTCTTTTTTTCTTTCTTCTAGTTACCCCCTTTTAAAAAAAAAAATTCATATGACAATGATAGTTTCCTAAACACAATTCCATCAAACCCGTAATATTGTCTCTCACTTTCCAGACTTACAATTGATTTGCCTTTTCAAAACATTTTCACAAGTATCCGATGTCTTTCACATTCTTCATAATCTCAATACAGTACTTATGTCAATTTTCAACGCATTCATGTCTATGCATGTATATCTTTAGTACAAAAGGAAAACAACAAGCAACCAACAACTTTCTATTCAATAAATGAGGCAACTCGGCTGTAACGACCCCGATTAGTAAATAACTACTAATTCATAATCAAGAATGCTAACTACGTGTTTTGAATGGAATTATGTGTTATTATTAATTGTGATATGTGCTTTGTAGTAATTTGTGCATATCTATTTGATTTGAAAATTATTTGTCATGATTTCTACTTTGAATCTGAAATTGTTAGCCTAAATGGTTTCAGAAACCGAATTTGAGTTCATGGATTGACTAACTAGAATATTTGGAACCATATGAAAAGTTTTGTTAAAAAAATTGATTTAGTTTAGTAAAATAACATGTGATTAAATTGAGCATTAATTGAAACTATTTTTTTCTGATTAATCGAGTCATGTACTAACCTTGATTAATTAAGGCTACTTGTGTTTGATTAAAATGATGCATGATTGGTACCTAATCTAATCCTATCCATTATCTAATATGTGATTAAGTGTATGATGTGCTGAGACATGTGATGATGTTGAGTGTAGAGGATCAATTCTTGTAGATGTGTTGAAGTAGTGCATATGTGTGCACGTGTTATTCATTCAAAATGTGAGAGTGTGTGTGTGTTGTGTATATTATGATGAGTTAAAGGAATGTTGTATCATTCATTTGGCTTCATTGAGTTTATCCACGTCTTAAGCTAGAGAGAGAGAAAGAGAGAGAGAGAGAGAGAGAGAGAGAGAGAGATAGCTCATTCTAGAGAGAGAAGCTTGTTTTTGTGCTAGAGATTGAAGAAACTAGGAAGGTTCATCTCACATTTCTGAAATTAAAGCTTTTGGTAAGAATTCTATGACTAATTTATATTGTAAATCCTCCATGCATTATGAGTTCATCAAGTTATTGAGCTAATTTCATGATATTTGTAAGGAAATGGGTCTTTGATCAAGATGATGACTTGTATGTAAGTTCTTGGAGATTAACCTTTGGTTTTATCATTTTGATTTTGAGTTTGAGTTTTGAAGGCCTTGCATGCATGTGAGTTTAAATCATGTCCATTGTTTCAGAAATTCATGAGTTTCATGATCACCATTTGCATGTTATGAAAAACCATGAAAATAGTTGAAAAATATTGCATGAAGGAGTTTTAATTCAAATCTATCAAGAATTGATGAGTTTTTGAATAAAAGATGTTTTAAGGATCTTGTATTGAAGTTTTCTAAAGCTATTTTATGTGTTTGATCAAATCATGTAAAACCCCAAGTTTTGAAAGTTGTTTGGAAGCCATTTTTGTTAAGCTTGGTGCCCAGAAATTTACAGTTGGCTCGAGCGAAGAAGTGGTGGCTCGAGCCAACATTACGAGCTCCTAGTATTTTGAACTCTGCAAAAGTTGGCTCGAGCAAAGGAGTGGTGGCTCGAGCGAGCTCAGTTTTTGCCTCCAGCTGGCTCTAGCCACGAAAAGCTGGCTCTAGCCACCAGCTTATTTTCAAAAGATGTTATAAGTACATATCTTCACTCCCATCTCTTTTCAGACATTCTTAGGCATGATTTATGAGCCATTAAAGATTAATAAGCTAAGAAAAAACATAGGTAAGTGAATTAGAAATTACGTGTCGAATCCGAGTATATGGTTCTATATGAACAAGCTATGTGACATGGAATGAATAGGAAGTTAAAGTAAGAAAGCTAAGCCATGTATGGCCACATGAATAAGTAATAATGAGACATGTTTTGTGCTATGTATATTTATGTTTGTAGGTCAAGACTCGAAGACTGACCAACCGTTTCTGGAAGCCCACTGTGAGTAACATTTCTGTAAAGATATGTTGATATGAATTATGTTTCCACTATTATGCGATATGTTATAATTTCTGAAATGTTATTTTGATTATGTGAACGAATGTCCTATTTGTGAATCTATTATGGCATCCACAGATAGTCCCAAGTCATGGGGGACGGCATGTAAATGAGGGTCCATGACATATATGTGATACGAGATCTTGTTAGCCACTTTATTGTGGTGATATGTGTTTAATCGGTATCCGGAACTGATTACTCTAGTCGGAAGATGATATGTAATATGTTCTATGAGATGTATCATTATGTTATATTCTGATATGAGACTGATATGAATATTGTGTCATGATTTGTTTTACGGATATGGTACATTTGGAATTCGTTTACTAACCCCTTTACTTTAATGTTATTCACTGGGTTTTAGCTCACTGTTTTTATATATATATTTATAGGCGAGCGCCCCAAAAGTCAAGCCTAGGCAGAGTCTTGAACCGAGTTACCGTTTTGAAGCCTACCAAGTGTTTTGGATGCCTCCGAGTTGGGGCTAGGCCTGGAAGGCCGTTAGCAAGCTTTCGGTTATGTTATACATTTTTGACCCGTACATATGTTTTTGTATAAGAGATTATGTTATATGTTATGTAATGTAAGTGGGTAAATTAACACTTTTGCATGTGATTATTTGTTCATATAGATACACAGCTCGTTGGACTATTGGTGTTTTGTTTATTGCTTCCGCAAGTCCCGATTATTTTGT